TTGACATTATTATTATTTTTTTTTGTTTTTGTTTTTTCGAGACAGGGTTTCTCTGTGTAGCTTTGTGCCTTTCCTGGGACTCACTTGGTAGCCCAGGCTGGCCTCAAACTCACAGAGATCCTCCTGCCTCTGCCTCCTGAGTCCTGGGATTGAAGGCGTGCGCCACCACCGCCAGGCCAGAAGATAATTTTTAACTCCTAATCCTCCTGCTTCTATTTTCCAAGTACTGAGATTATAGTTGTGAATCACTATACCTGGCTAAATGACCATTTTTAGTAATTTTAATTATAGGTATTATTATAGCCATAGGTCTTCCATGACAATTTTCTTCTTTCATTCATAAAAAGTAGATTCATTTTTTTTTAGTAGATTCTGTATTACTAAAGGAATGAAAGAGCATCAGTCCAGCAAGGATCAGTGAAGGAACTTGAAAGAATTTTGCTGATATGATTAGCCTTATAAAATTACTCCAAGATTCACACTGGGTCACAGGCTTCACAGAGCTGATGTTGTATTTATTAGTGATCTCTATTAACTCAGAAACCACCATTATGATTATTCTAACCTATCCTATAATTGTATGTAACCCCAGAAAAGTATCTGTTCAATAAGAAATGGGAAAAGTTGCCATTTTGTCCTTTATACATCTTCTGCTGCCCAGAAAAATTACAGGATTTTGTGATCATGATTTCTCCTCTCTCTTTGACCACAAACATTTACTATATCAGCAATGTATTCATTCTTATTGCTGACAATAAGAAATTGAATTGTTGCAGGATATTTGATCACACTGTGAACCCCGAGATTGCATTATTTACTGGAAAAGCCTGTTTCTAGTTGTGATGTGTCTAAGCCCTAGCATACACTTTAATCCAAGAGTTTTCTGATTGAATATTTTTAAAGGGGCTAAATAAAATCAACCATATGTCAAGAAGAAGAGCAAGCAACCAGTTGACATAAAAAAAAAACCATAAAGAGTAAGTAGGAGTCAGGAAGATGGAGAGAGACACCCAGGAAGTAGAAAGCTGAGACACTGAGTTGGACGAGTCTTGTTTGAGACAGCATAGGAGAAAGAGCAGCTTTGTACTACAAACTGCTCAGGACATTCAAATTGCTGAGGTCATATGAGATTGACATAAACCTTTTATAGAACTTTAAACTCAGAAACACTTAATGCTAAGACTGCCAAATACAACCAAGTTGACATTATGGAAAGCTTGGCAGAAATAGCTTCATTACTGTAAATAGTTTTACTGTCTTAGAGTTAAAACCTTTCCTTTTCTTTAGACAAAAAGGGGGAAATGCTGCAGGGTATTTGATCACACTGTGAATCCTGCATTATTTACTGGAAAAACTTGTGTCTAGTTGTGGTGTGGTGCAGCTTTAGCACACTCCTTTAGTCCAAGAGCTTTCTGCTTGAATATGTTAAGCAGGACTAAATAAAATCAGCCATAGGTCAAGAGGCAGAGCAAGCAACCAGTTGACAGGAAGTGAACAAGAAAAAAAAAAACACAATAGAGAGTAAGAGAGAGTCAGGAGGACATGCAGAGAGATGCGTAGGAATTAGAAGGGTGGGTGGGACATTGAATTGGAGGAGTCTTGTTTGAGACAGTGTAGGAGGAAGGGCTCTTTCTGGGATTTTGGCAAAGAAGGTCAGCTAGGTGCTTTCTCTGCCTCTGTGAGCTAGCAGGCTTTCACCCCAGCATCTGGCTCCTGAGTCTTTATTGGTAAAATTGAACTATTGAGAATTTGTTAAAAACAATGAATAAAATTTAAATATATTTACTTTAGATAGGTGACTATTAGAAGACAGTCATATTCAGTGATCTGTTTTTATTTTTATTTTTAGTACTGGGGATGAATGCAAGGACTTGTTCATACAAACTAAGGTATGTACTACTGAACTACACCATAAATGTTTTTACTTTTTATTTTGAAACAAGATATCACCAAGTTGCTCAGAATGTCCTTGAACATGTGATCATTCTGTCTCAGTCACCCAAGTGGCTATGGCTAACAGCTGCACTTCTAGGTCTGGGTCTTCTGCACAACTTTTAATAATTTTCATAGTCACATTTTAATTTTTATGGCAAATCCCACACTAATATATCTGTAATAAAGTGTGTGTGTGTGTGTGTGTGTGTGTGTGTGTGTGTGTGTGTGTGTGTGTGTGTCTGTTGATCACAGGACAACTTTCAAGACAGTTCTCATATATCTAGTTGTGGCAGAATCTCTCTCATTTCTGCTGCTGCATTGTGTAACTGTGTACTCCAGGCTAACTGGCCTACTAGCTTCTGGACAACCCTGTTTTTGCCTGCCATGTAAACAAAGGAGTGTTCAGCCACAGAGCATAGTGTTGTATATCACAGTGACATCATTTCTTTGTGTGCCCACCAAAAATTAATTTTAAAAATTAATTTAAACTTCTTAAAAATAAAAAAAGATAGACATTAACCATGTACTTTGGAAACAAGTTTTCACTGTCTAGAAATTTCCATAAGAGCAACTTAATTATTCACAAGGCACTTGAAAATTATAGAATTAACAGATAAAAACAAAACAACACATGTAACAATACAGAATTATATGAGATGAAACAGTTTTTATTTTTCTATCTCTGCATATTTTCTATCTCCATCACTTTTCTTTTCCCAGTGACCAACAGAACTTTGGCTCTGCTTTCTTTCTGCTTTACTATAAAGGTAAAGCATATCCAGAGGAGTAAAGAAGAAACTGCTGCTGACTCTGACATGTCTGCCCCACTGCTTCAGTTCTTGGAGACCTGCATCCCTCACATAGATTAACTGAAGATTATTCATCACAGCCTCTCATTTCATCCATCAGTACCTTCATTTATCTCTAGATGATAACTGTTTCCTTTTTAAATCAACACACCTTAAGAAATTAACCAGAACTACTACTTTCAACCAAAATCCAGTTTCAACCAAAACAACAAAGAAACAAAACAAACAAACAAACAAAAAACAAGATCTGGTATGAATAAAAAGCTACGATTGTCTCTAGTGTATATTTCTTCTTCTATCTTTTCCCTTTCTATCAAGTTTATTTTTGAAGAAAGAGTGTGATTGTAGTGCCATGGTTGTGTTTAACATTCTGCTTTGTCTGCAGTACTTGCTGTGAACTTGCAGGTCAAGCTCTTTTTTGCTGCTGTTTCCAACACTCTGAGGAAACATGTAAAATACCTCTGCTGCAGTTGATGACTTTCATACTGTACTGACTTGTGTTGATTGAACTGCAGAGGGCCTTACAGTGTGCACAGTAAGAAACTATTGTTAACACACAAGCTTCCTGCCTTCCAAGTCAAGGCTCAGAGGACCTGAAACAGAATTTAAGAGATGTCTGAAGGAAGCTTGTTCCAGGTGAAAGGAAAAATGTTTGCAAAAGCTCTGCAGCAGAAAAACACCAGCTATACCCAAAGGGGAACAGGCTCTTTCAGTTGGACAGATAGAGAGAGACTTTAGGAAATGAGATCTGAAAGGAGAGAGATTATGCAGGATGGTGTAAGCCATTATCAGGACCATGGATAAGGAAGCCACTGGGAACTTTGTATAGAGGAGTGAGACTGCTTTTAAAGAATCACTGTGGTTGCTGACTTATAAATGGGCAGCAGCTGGGAGACCAATGATGATGACACTTTAAATTTCTGAGCTGGCTGATATAATCTGTTCGGGGAAGTTGTTTAGTTCATGCCTTTTATTTCAGGGAAGTTCATCTGCAATTGTTTTGCAGACTCTTAATGAGCCTTTCAACCTACTCAGAGAATTAGATGAGATTAGATAAATAATCATTATATAGTAGTAGAAGTAACATGACAAGTCCAAGAGCAGAAGTGTCCAGAGAAGGCAAACTGAGGCTAGATGAGTTAGGGACTTTTCTTTTTGTTTTTCTTTCTGTTTTTTTTTTTTGTTTGTTTGTTTGTTTGTTTGTTGGCTTGCTTGTTTTGTTTTGGATTGATTTGTTTTTTTTTATTTTCTTTTGTGGGGGCACTGTAGGGCGGAGGGAAGGATATGGTGGGACTGGGAGCTGAGTAAAATTGGAGTGTATTACATGAAATTCCAAAAGATTCAATAAAGAAATTATGTTAAATAAAAGCAAAACCAAAAATGACAAAAGAGAGAGAGAGAGAGAGAGAGAGAGAGAGAGAGAGAGAGAGAGAGAGAATGGGATACACTTTTCCTTGGGACTATCACAAATAGGAATAAATTTTAAAATTATATTTAATTTTTTTAATTCTTAAAATTATTCAAAGATAAAATCCTATTTTTCACCAATAAAAGACAACATATCTGTGTTACCTCAGCTTTCTGTTACTGTAACAAGCATAGTAATAAATATTTGTTACTGTAATAAATACAAGATGAGTAGATATTTGGTCCTGTAGAAGTGGCAATGAATTGAGAAAGAGAAGATGTAATTAATGGAAGAGAAAGAACAAGGTCAAAGATTGTGTGAGCATTTTAAACATAAAAGAAGACTGAGAGGGTGGGCCAGCAGTCTCCACAGGCTAGAGGAAAAAGAAGTTTGGGGAGAGATTTAGTGTGGGTTATACATAGTGTGTAGTACTGATGCCAATGTTATCCAGTGGGAAATACTTATATTGTTCTTTGTATGTGTGTGTACATGTATTTGCATGTGGAAGCCAGAGGCTAACATTATCTTCCTCAATTGCTCTTCACTTTATTTTTCTGAGTGTCTCTCAGTCAAACTGGAGATTGCTAATGCAACCAAACTTGCTGGCCAGCAAGCCCAGGGATGTTCCTGTTTCTACCTCCTTGGAACGTGATTATAAGCACAAGCAGGCTTGCCTGGCTTTTTACATGGATACTGGGAATGGTTTTCAGTCCTCCTGACACCATAACAAACCCTTTACCAACTGAGCCATCTCTCCAACCCCTGTTTATAGAGATCCTAAGTACGTTAAATCCAAAATCCTTGTTCTTACAATTTACAGTATTTATTCAGAATACTCCATGGATATACATTGATTAAATATGCTAATTTAAAATTTGTAATTTGTAGTGCTTCTTTTCAGTACAGTTTTCTAAAGGAATCTCAGTTATTTATGAAAATTATAGTAAATTAACCAAGAATTTAAGATTTGTCATTCAAAGTAACCTATATAATTATAATTTTTATATAAAAACTATTACCTTTTGACCTACTTCATTTCATAATTTTAACATTAGCTTTGCATTACCCTGAATCCAATTTTTATTTAAGGAACCCCTAGAAAAACTATATTTGGGCACAGTCTGTGATCTTCTGAGAAGTCAAGAAGCTTATTTCATGATAACATCCAGTCTCCATGCTCCACATGGGAGAATAAAATCTGGTTATTGACACCACAACTCTGTCAATCACAAGTCCCTATGTCCTATGCCCATTTTTCACTCCCCCAAAGAAGAATTTGAGCTTCACATTTTGCAAAGACCTTCACTACTTGAAGTGATATATATATATATATATATATATATATATTGACATTAGACAAAACTCTGCTTTTTAAAAAAAAAAAATCAGTTTTCTAGGGATATTAACTCATCCTTGGAGCATGCTAAGGTCCTTTTACATCTTTTTATCTTTCATTATTTTTTTCATTTTTCTTTATTAAGACATTTTCTCCTCACTCTACATACCACCCACAGATCCCATCTGCTCCCTCCTCCCACCCCCTAGCCCTCCTTCCCAAGCCACCCCACATCCCCACATCTCCCAAATCAAGGTCTCTCATGGGGAGTCAGCAGAGTCTGGCACACTGTGCCTCGGCAGGTCCAAGCCTCTCCTCACTGCAACAATGCTGAGCAAGGCATCACACCACAGGCATTGGGCTCCTAAAAGCCTGCCCATGCACCAGGGATGGATCCTGATTCCCCTGTCTGGGTGCTCCCCAAACAGTTTGAGCCAAACAACCGTCTTCCGTATCCAGAGGGCCTAGTCCAGTCTCATGGGGGCTCCACAGCCACTAGTCTACAGTTCATGGGCTTCCACCAGTGTGGCCGGTCACCTCTGTATTTCTTCCCATCATGATCTCACTGTCCCCCACCTCCAGAATCCCTCCTCTCTCTCATGATTGGATTCCTGGAGCCCAGCCTGGTGCCTGGCTGTGAATCTCTGCATCTGCCTCCATCAGGCACTGGACAAAGACTCTATGATGGCGGTTAGGGTATTCACTAGACCAGTCACCAGAGTAGATCAGTCCAGGTACTCTCTAGACTACTTCCAGCACTGGCAGAGGGTTGGGCAGATAGTGAATGGGAGGTAGAATGTACATAAATAAACTCTCTTCTGGAAAGATTCCCTCATCGGTCTCCTACTGTGAATCAACAGACTCACCTATTTTAGGGTTGTCAATAGCATGCCTTTTGGTACCCAGAATCAGAAAGGAGAATGATCAAGGCCTTTCTAAAATCGTTTACACTGACCCACCATTTCTTTAGTCTGCTAAGGACTGGGAAAGAAAGGGACATGGTTAGATCTCTTATGTCTCAGGTTTTCCTTTTCTACTTTTGTCTTGCCCCACTCTACATACACATGAGGGTCTATCTGCTCTAAGATGGAACATGCCTAATTTCTTCAGCCTGTGAGATCTGGTCTCCTAGAATGGCCAGCGTTTGAGAATGACAGGTTCATAATCTAACACCTATTGGTATCCTTCTGTGAGTCAATGAATTAGATTTCTTTAGATTGTCAGTCATGTGCGTTTTGGAATCAAGAATCTGAAAAAGAAAGAGGAATGATCAAAACCTTTCTAAAAACATTAAGAAACCCAAGATATCTTTTCTAGAGTCTAGCCAGATAAGTATAGTTCTCATGCCTAACCAAAGAAATATCTCACCCATCTGGACAAGGGGTGAGTGCTTGGGCTCAGTCTAGATCCCATCTCTGAGCACCAGCAATTCCGGGGAAGACCTGCCCAACTTGGCCCCAGGTTCTGGCCATCGGCAGGATCCCTTTCACCCCCACCGGGAAGGCTCCCCTTCTCCAAGACCCCTGGCAGACCCTGCAATCTCCATGCCCTGCCCCCACACCCATCCACTCGAGACCCCAGCCACTTCCTGAGACTTAGAGAACAGCCCCCAGCTCCCATCCTGCCCTGGACTTCCCATCTAGACAAGAGCTCCCATCCTGCCCTGGACCTCCCATCTGGACAAGAGCTCCCATCCCGCCCTGGAGCTACTATCTGGACAAGAGAGAGACTTCCTGAATCTGTCAACTCGTTCTGGACCAAGTGCACTGATAAGACCAAGAACGAAATTACAAGGAGATGGGCAGATGTCAAGGCAGAAGTACATACAACAAAATGAAGAGCAATACAGCATCACCAGAACCTAGCCCCCCTCCAACATCTGGACCTGAACATCAAAAAATGGAAGAAGCAGAAGAAAACAGCCTTATGAATAACATCATAAAGAAGGTAGAGGCTTATATAGAAGGAATCACAAATGAAAGTGAGGAAAAGACAAGCAAAAAATGGGAAGAACACTATAAAAAACTAGAGGAAAGGACAAATAAAGCAAAAGCCCTGGAAGAAAACAATAAAGCTCTGAAAGAAAATAATGAAAAAGCAATGAAACAGATGAAGGAAACAGTCCAAGACCTGAAAAGGGAAACAGAAAAAATGAAGATGACACAAACATAAGGAATGCTGGAAATAGAAAATCTGAGTAAACGATCGGGAACTTCAGATGCAAGTATAACCAACAGAATGCAAGAGATGGAAGAGAGGATCTCTGGTGTTGAAGATACGGTAGAAGAAATAGATTCATCAGTCAAAGAAAACACTAAAGCCAACAAAGTCATGAACCAAAATGTCCAAGAAATTTGGGACACTATGAAAAGACCAAACCTACAAATAATAGGGATAGAGGAAGGAGAATACCAACTCAAAGGCACAAAAATATATTCAATAAGATCATAGAAGAAAACTTTCCCAACTTAAAGAAGGAAATGCCTATGAAAATACAAGAAGCCTATAGAACACGAAACAAACTAAATCCC